CCAGATTTTTAACATCCTATTCTTGGATCTTAGACATGTCTATAAAAGAAATTTTATAGTAAACTTAATATTTATATGTAAGAAATTGAAAGTTTGTATTTGTATATATATATATATAATTTAATTGTTTGGATTATTGTTTTAATTGTTCATATGTTTGTATATATTATTGTGTATAATAATTTGATTGTTAAGTATCTAAACCCATATTTCTAGATACAGATGCTTTTGCCCTTATATAGGTTTATCATGTATTTATTCCAACTAGTATATTGTATACCAAGAACTACAGATTACAGTTGTATTTCTTTAATCTAGTGTATGACTTCTTGGCTTTTCCTAGGATGAATACTATATTTAGAACTTGCCAAGTGAATTTTTAATTTCTAAATATTCTTTGGGTTTCTGTGCTTCTTTAAACTTATCTTGAGTTTGCACTGTCTTAATCAGTTTTTGCTTCTATACAACTTAAACATTTCATAAATACTAATCAATTGGCTTGCATTTTTTCATGCAACTCAAGCATTCTATGAATACCAAACAAGCTTTTACATTATTTTGTACAACTCAAGTATTTTACAAATCTATATAGTATGACCAAGGTTATAGGCCCTAGTAGCTTAATATTGAATTAGTTATAGTAATAGCCAAAATTTAAATTCTGTTACTAGCAGGATTCAAACTCTAGATATGCCACTTGGTGGGATGACAACTAGACCACTTCACTAAGTCACCACACCCAATTATCAAATAGTTTTAAAAGAATTTTGAGCTAAAGTTGTTTAATTCTTCTTTAAGTCAAATAACTAACTTACTTAAACAATAATATAATTAGCTAAAACAATTTTTTGAAATTTAAAGAAAGTTCTACTAAGTAAAGATCTCTTCTAGCTTTAAGAATAGAATATATGTAAATTATTTTTTATATAATCTATATAATATATTGGATTTTTACATAGTAATAAAAAAAACACTTCTGATTAACTTTTTAATATCTTGGCTAATTTGTATCAAATTTATATAATATGTAATTTAAAATAGATTGTTTATAATAGTGAAGTTATACAATGTATATTGTTTTGAAAAAATCTAACTTTATATATAATTAAAGTTTTTCTAAATTACTATATATTTTTTCTAAATAGTATAAAGATTTGCTAATTCTGATTGGCCAAATTAAATATTATTTACATATAAATTATAAGACACTATATAGAAGCTTATCAGTAAAAAAGAGTAAAAAGTTTTTACTACTTTTTTTTTAAATTTTAAATTAAAATAGCTTAATAACAACTAAATCAAATTAAATAATTTTTTTTTATTTAATTTTATAACTATATAAAATTAAAATATAAAAAAAATTATTAAATTTAGTTTAGTGGTTATTGAAATATTTTAATTTAAAGTTTAAAAAACTTTTGCTTAAAAACTTTTTATTTTTTTTCTACTAACAAACCCCTATATAATATTAGTTATACAATATTAATCTACAATCTATTTTATATGAATTTGAAAATAGTAACACTCTACACTTAAGAAAAGATTTTTAAAATTCTAACAGTAGTTAAATCATCCAAATCAGCTTGGTAGATCTCATAATACTTGAAATTAAAAGTATAAATATAGAGATTTGCAAAGTTACTATTATATAAAAAACAATCATTTATTAGATAATAATTCTTTGTATAATAGTAACTTTGCAAATCTCTATATTCATGCTTTTAATTCCAAATATCTTGAAATTCACCAAGTTGATTTGAATAATTTAACTATTATTGAAATTCTAAAATCTCTTTTACAAGTTTTCTTAAAACTAAGAGACTTTTACTTAGTAAAATTTTCTTTAAATTTTAAAAAGATTGTTTTAGCCAATCATATATATTATTGTTTTAATTTTATAGAGGTTGTAAAAATAAAAAATATACTAACTTTAAAGCAAAATTTTTTTAAAACTATTTAATATTTAGGTCTATAACTTTTGTTAAAGAATTATTAAATATTAAAAAAATAAGTCTTATATTTAAAATTATTTTTTATATTTATTTTATTGAATAAATTAAAGAAAAATATTTTTTTTGTCAAATTTTATATATAAATTTGGATATGTTAACTTATTTGATTTATTTTATTTTATTTTTTTTTTTAATGTTAAAGGTGAGACTATGCTCTTATCTTTATTAAACTTAATAAAAACTTTTTACATAATTGAAAAAGGTTTTATATTTTAAGTCTATTACTAAGAATAAGAACTCAGACTAACTAAGTGTTTAATAAAGCAAACCTAGTGTTTTATTTGCGGCCTAAACCTACCAGAGTAGCCAAAGCTTATCTAGATTTCAGATAGATTAAGTATTTGTGAAAAGTATGTGTAAAATTTAATCTAGTCAAAGTACCATGATGATACTTTGCGTGTGAATATTTGTGTAGTATTGTCAGAAGTAACTATAAAGAGGTGTGGGTTGTGTAAAGATTCAGATAATAAGATTGCTAGTAGAGATAAGAGTTGAAGTATAGGTCTTGAGCTACAATAGTAAATTCAAATATTTGTATAGAGTTGTTTATTAATATGAAGGAGAAGTTGTATTGTAATTGAATTGGCTATTTGGTTCGATATAGTAAATTCATGTATAGTTTGTATAATAACAAAAGGAATAAGTTTAAAAAGTGTAGAAAAAATAGAAGATTTGTTTAAGAAGAGGTGTATTCAAAAGCTGTCAAGGTTGAAGATTAGATTATGTAGCTGTTTAGTTTGTGCAGAAGATATTTGGAGTTTATTAGAAGTTAAATAAAATTGTAGTGAGTTAATATATAGAGAAGTTGGGGTAAAGCAAATAGCCTAGTATAGTAAAGTACTAGTTTGCTAGCATATATAATAGGTATTTGGGTATTGAGAGTTTCTTTTATACAAAGTATGAGGTGTAGGTAGCTTATTAGCAAGGAGCTTAACTTTGAATATTTTAAAAGCAAAAGACTGGAAGCTATAAGCAAAGTTAGTAACTTTTTAATCATTGTTAAGGTAGAGCCAAGTTGTATTCTAGTTAATGTGTTGAGAGATTTTTATCTATCTTTGAAAGTGATTTTGAGTTAACCAGAGGGTGAAAATTTTTGCATAATATATTATACAGATACTATGACAGATAGGGAGTTCAAGAGAATAGCCTTGGGTTATTGGAGTAAATAAGAGACTGAATATATTATGATAATTAAGTGTAAGAAGAGACTTATCAAGATGGTTATAGGCAAGTTGGTCTGCTTTGTTGTTAAGCTTATTGTCAGAGTGTGCAATAACTTTATGAAAAGTAATTTTAAAATTATAAAATTTGATAAAATTGAGTATTGTGTTTTATATTGACTAGTATGAAGTATGTAGGGGTTTGCTTGTTCAGTTAGGTTGTGATATTTGGAGATTATGGATTGAGAGTTAGTATAAATTTAAATGTTACAATTTCTAGAAGTAGTACAAATAGCTGAAAGAATTGCAAGTAATTTGGCTTTAAATAAATATAGCCAGAGTGAAATTTGTGCTTGGTTAGAGGTCTGATCCGGTCAAAAAACTGGCAATTCGAATATTCATTTGATCAAACCTATTATATCCGAGTAACTGATGAAAAATTCGAATAAATATCCGATTTATTCGATGATATTCGATATACAGTACATATCTTTTTAGTTACTTTATACTTTCGACATTCTTTCGACTTATTACAGTATTAAAATTGCAAGCTACACATTAGATCACAGAGCTAATAACAATAGTTTAATTTACATAAAAAGATTAGCGTTAGTTAATTTCTTTCCGACTATAACACAATCTTTAGTTCATTCGCAAGTTTTAGATCTTTAGATCTCGAAAATTCTGTTTTCTAGTATACTAAAAACTTAAAGCAGTGCTTTTGTAAATCTCTATTCAGTAAGGTTAGGATCTATTTGGAGCTTCCTTGAATCTTTCGCTTGGCCACCTGATAAGTATAAATCTAAATTTTCGTTAGGTTATTGTATCTTACAAAAATTCTCTTATTTAGATATTAAATTTGTTTGGTTATTAAAGGCTTGCACTAAAAAACTTATGCAAATAGAATGCTAAGAAAATTGTCCTAGGCATTTTATTATGCCGCGCCATTTTTTATTTTATTTTTTTTATATATATATTCTATTCTTTTTATTTAATAAAAATTTGTTTTGTGAAATTTATATCTAATATGATTCGGGCTAAATAATGATTCATTTCAAGCTATCAATTATAGAGAAAAAAAAGAGGAAGAAAAAAAAGAAAAAAAGGAAAAGCAAAAAAAGGAAAAAAAAGGAAAAATAAAAAAAAATATACTAAAAATGCTAAAAAAAAAAAAAAAAAAAAGAAAGACGTGCTTCCAAAAAAAAAAAAAAAAAAATCTCCAAAATTTCACTCAATTAAATCATAAGCATTATTTAGTTCATTACAGTTTTGTTTTAAAAATAACATCCGTTCAAATAATTTTGGTTTTAGCATCGTTCTTCTAACAGTCATTATATTGTTTGCATCGCTAAAAAGTCGCTCACTTGGAGTTGAGGTCGCGGGTATCGCAAGATACTGTCTTGCAAGCTCACTTAAGAGAAGAAGGGAAGTCTTTTGAGTATTCCACCAGTGAAAAGGATTATGATTGTAGGAAATTTCAGGTAAAGAAAGATAATGACTAATTTCATCAATTGGCTCATCAACAGTATTTTGCATAAAAATTGATTTGATGAATGTTTTTTGATAGATTTGGCATTCTCTCTGATTATTTTTAGCTAAAAGTTGTTCATTAACATCTAAAGGCTGGTTTGTTAGGGTTAGTGAAGATTGACGAAGTGATTTAATATTATTGTATTTTTCTCGAAGGGCAGCTTTCGCTTGGAGTTGTTGAGTTGATGTTGCAAATCTTAATTTTTTAAACCTCGGATCCAGAAGGTATGCAAGGAATAATTCTTCATCTGAAAGATCCCAATAGTGTAAGAGTGCATTATATAATGCATTCTTAATTTTGTGCTGCATATTAGTAACGTCAATAGGTGTATTGATTTCAATTTTTCTTCCTTTAGGACCACCTTCTTCTTCTTCTTCCTGTGCATCAACAAATCTAACATTATTGTCGAATACTAGGTCAGGCATTTCAAAATTTATGTTATTTGATTCATCTAAATGGTCTGTAGAGCAATCCAACTTATCCATCAATCCTAAAATAGAGGGGATCATATAGGAAAATGTAACATATTCGGAACCACCGAGTAATTCCGTAACTTCAAAGAAGAGACCCAAAATATTAACAATATCTCGCATCAAATCCTACTCATTATCAGTTAATTGTATTTCTTTTAACCTTCTTGCGTCTTTTCTTGCTTCAGATGCACTTGAAACGCTTAATGTTGCTAAGACAATGTCGGTGGCATCTTTAATAAGTAGAAGTCGTTCCCAAGCGAGAAAAGATGAATTCCAACGAGTGGGCACATCCATTTTTGCATAAAGGTACGTTGAAGTTTTAGTAATTATCTATAATAAAAGTATTTTGGTTATTGAATAGCTGATTATATAAAATATAGAAACTATGAAACATCTTTTCAGGGTTATCAATAGAATATTTCAAGCTACAATAAAACATATAAACCACTACAGTTTGTGAGTGGTTGAATGTTTTATTATAATCTGAAATATTTCTATTGATAACCCTATGTTAGCATAACGATTATTAATGAATTGGTTGTTGTTTAAGTGGCATGTATTTTAATTATTTTATTAAAAAATCAAACTTTACATCATTATCCGAGATCCTTAGTGTTTTTTGAACATCTTCGAGTCGTTCATTTTGCTTTGGTGCCATGAAAAAATTAATTAATCGCTTGGCGCGTGCTACGAGTACTTCAACAGGCATCAAACCCTTTCCAACAACAAGCTGTAATGAATGGGCTGAACATGGGATTCTTACTATATTACTCATTTTATTAATTGCCGCTTTCATATTAGCCCCATTGTCGGTTGTAATTGAATATATCTTTCCGGTAAGACCCCAGTTTTCAATTACTTCTTCTAATTTTTCTTGGATAACATTGGCAGTGTGAGGGTATCTGACATATGTAAGGGAAAGTAATACTTCGTGGATTTTGAAATCAGAATCTAGCCATAAGCAGGTAACTCCAAGATACCCCTGTCTATTACGAGACGTCCACAAATCGGTGGTTAGTGAACAATATGTTATAGAATCCTTGAGCTTTTTTCACATAATCTTGGAAGATTTATTATATAATGTATGAATTATTTGCTTTACACGTTTTTCATCAGGTAAACTGAACCTTGGATCTAATTCCTTTATGAACTCACGAAAGTTAGGGCTTACTGCAAAACTAATTGGCTATGCGTCCTGGATAATAAACTTAACAAGAGCTTTGGTCAGCTTATCATTCTTCGCTTTAGTATATGGATAAGAACCGGATCTTGCAAAAAGATCAATTTTGCTTTGAGCGGGCTAGATAAGAAAAAATTTATTATTAAATAGTTTTAACAAAAACCAATATAGTCAATTCTCTCTATACCAAACACTTGAGGCTTATTAAAACAATGGAAAAAGATTCAGGATCTCTTTAGTATAGACGAACCTATTCTAAAGTCAATTGATTAATATATTATATTAATAGGATCACCTATACTAAAAGAGATTCATTTAAATTCTAAAGTTCGGTTTAGATGTTTATTTTATCTAGGTTTGGTTTAGAGAGTTAATTGTAATTGCTATGTAAAAAATTAATTTATACATCTTCACGTAATTTAGGTCTGTCTTGCGTAATATCATGGGTGTTTGTTAAATGAGATATTAAATTTGAGGTTGATCCGCCTATTATTCTTAATCGTGTATTATATTTTTTTCCTGAATCATTTAATACAAGACAAACGCCATATGTGACCTCAATTTTAATATCATCAGATTCTTCTTTAATTTCAATTACTTTTTCTGATTCAAAATATTTCCACACCCAGCTTCGTTTTTTCGATCCACCTCTATGACCTAGTTTTTTTTTTTATGCACTGGTTTTTCAGGTAATTCATTATTGCTTTCTTCGCTTGTACATGTGTTTTCTAATATAGAGCTTTCAGATCGGTTGGCATACGATTCATCGAATGACTGAACTGACAAAGAGGATTGTAAATCATCATCTTCCATCATAGGTATATTAAACAAGAGTCTTAAACTTCAGAAAATAGTGGGACGCAGGATCTAATATATATATTTCAATAATTATTGCTTTTTTTTTTTTTTTTTTTTTTTTTTTTTTTATTAATATAATGCCATAGTGGAAACTTTATTACAAAAAACCTAAATTAATCTAAAGACTAATAGTCTTCTCATTTTAGACTAAATTTGAGTGAGGGG